GGAACCTGCTCGCTCAGTTCTTGTTGTATTTGTTACTTTGGAATTTCGTTGAAGATGTCATCATTAATTTGTGATTCTCGGTCTAGTAGTTCCTGAAAGTGTTCCTTCCAACGAGAATTAATGGAGGAACTGTCTTTAAACAGTCTTGCGCCAACTTTGGATTGTAGGAAAGTCCTTGAGTGGTTGGTTGGTATACCATCTTAGTAACCTGAAAGAAGGCCCTGGTGCTCATCCAACATTGGTTCTTCAGTGCTCGCGTTTGCCTTTGCTTCCTGGTAGTGCTTTTTTTACAGTTGAGCTGGGGTCGCTTTTCAATGCATTATGCGCTTTTCTTTTCCTTTTTATAAGGTCTTGGCTTTCCGTGTCGTCTCATCAAACCAGTTTTGATGTTTCTTTTGTATGTAGCCGACCGTTTCTTCCGAGGCTGATATTATTTGCGGTCTTTAGTATTTTCCATTACTTCTCAATCCTTTGCCTCAATGCAGTGCCGGCTTTTTACCGCCGGGTGCAATTTAAATCCCACCGCCTCAAGGTTCCTAGTTTTTAAAGTAACATCGATACATACTTTCTTCAAATCTCTATTTTTTCACAAACACAGAGTAGCAGTACCGAGAGCAGTACCTATGTGAAATTTGTGTAGTAAAACAATATTCATTTTTTTCAAAACAATTAACACCACGCAACCCATATCATATCCTGAAAACCCAGTATTTTTTTCAAATTTTATGCCAAGGTTCGGTTTATTCACCTTCAGAGAAATTTGCTGGTAACTATCTGCAAGATAAATTTACAGTTCTATAAATCTGTTGTTCGGTGGATAACACATCTGCCAGCTCCTTTTCCAAGATTTTATTGAGTTTCTCCTCTTTTTTAAAATTTTTGTCACATCCAAAAAGCACCACCTTCCTTTTTGCTCATTTTATCAGCTTGAAAAGTTAGAAAATAGATATAGATAATACTGTCACGGATTCCGGGTTCACTTAAACTCACTTCACTAACAGTAACAACTTTTATTAAACTAATTGAGTTTATACAAAATTCACACACGCTCTATTTATATAGTCGAAATTGCACTCGGGATTTATCTAGAAAACATCGAATCGAAAATAATAGAATTCTAAAAAAAAGCACCCTACCCGACGTGAACAAGCGACGAATTTAATTTCTTGGAATCTCGGCGCCGAGCTGTCAACGCAATATGGTAACACTGCCTCCCTTCTAAATCAGATCGTGCTGATCTGACTACCAAGATGCACCACATCCTATTCTTCGTCTATATCTCCTCTCAGATCCATAATGGCTCAATCTTTTCTCTTGCCTAACATCACTATGCCTGTCTAAGTGGACTGCGACCTGAACGCAGCGCCTTAGACCGCTCGGCCATCCTGACTTCCCACATATATCCTAATGTATGCATGGCTCTTCTTCCCTTAAATTGACGTCATGGATACTAGATAATGGCTATCTGGTCCTGTTCCCTGTTGATTTCTTCAGAAACCCTTCCGCATTTATGTTGATGCTTCCGGATAGGCCAAACCGAGGGCCAAACTAACCAGACAGCGGATGTCGGTTTAAAAATTCTTGTAGGTAAGCTTTCTGTTGCCTTGTTCTTAGTTTTACCTGGTAAAGCTGCCATCAATATTGATCTCAATAACGAGGCTCTAACGCATCGACAAGCGCATCATAGTTTTGTTGGGAAACTAACGGAAGAATCTCTAATATGTCAGAGGCAGGGCCACGCAATGCTACAATCAAGCCTGCAGCCGTGTCATCTGAGCCGCTTTCCAGTGACGAATTTCAAGGTGCTTCACACCCATAGCTTCACACTCTAGTGCTCCAGCAACTGTTGGGTCACTGAAACGCACCCTACTTTAAGCGTCGGGTTTTTGTTGCGCCCATAAAATTGCAGGTGCTTGAGAGGGCAGGGGAAAGGAAAAACGATCAGTTCAGTTGCGCGAAACTCTAATACACTGGAACGCCTATAAATAGTCCGAGGCGCTCTAGAGCAGCTCAGGAGTACTTCAAGTGCGTCACTGGAAAGCAACTCCAGCCATTATCCTTTGAACAATCTCGAATTGGCGTCTGTACATGGCCCACGATGTCGGTTCGTCATATTATACAAAATTTTTAATTGAAGAAGTAGGTCCATATCTCAAAATGGAGTTGAAATTTAATTCAAAAGAAAAACTCAAAAATCTTCCTCCACAATGCCTGAAATTTCAGTATTTTGATGGAAATAGGGTTGCCAGATACTTGAATTTTGAAAATAGGAGATTCTGTATAAAATTAAATGAGATTGGATAATAATATATGAGAATATTTTATGTACTGCAAAATTCCATCTTGACAATTAGCTATGATTTTTAGCAGATTTTGGAATGTATTGCTGGACGACATTCTTTTAGGTAGTTAGATACTCCTCCTCATCCGTCAGTCTCATTTATTGTAGCAAGTTTGGGACAACAAAAGAGTCTGGGGAGCAGACAGACGAAGCTACGAAGGATGCCGAACGATATTCCGCGTGTGGCTAAATTCACCAAAATGTTGCACCTATATTAATCGGTTCCAAAATCGCTTTGTTTTTTTTTTTACTTTTATTTTTATTTATTATCTATAGAAGCGGCAACATTAATTCGACGCCATGTTTGAATTTGAATATCCATTATCGACCAGTGTAAGCTTAAAACGCAAATTAAGAATTGGTTTATTGTTTTGTTTACTTTTTGATGAAAATACATGAGAAATAGTCTCATATTGAACATGCCAATATGAGATATGAGAAACAGTTAAAATATATGAGTCTCATATTAAAAATAGGAGGTCTGGCAACTCTAGATGGAAATGGAAGTAAAGAAAATAGGGTTGCCGGTGCAACGTTGGCGATGTTGCTAATTAGATTACCGGGCTGGCAAATAATAATAACATTTTTCATAAATAGAAAGTTCTCGTGCCTCAGAAGCTACGCTAATACGGTACCGCTAACAATACGGTATTTTTAATGGTATTTTATAGTTCTCGAACAGGACACAAAAATCCTCTAATCCAAATTCAAATTCAAATTCAAAAGCATTTATTTGCCAACAACCTAAATATAATAGCATAAACTGAATACTTAGATAATTTCATGACAAAAAGGACATCTTCTCGATTATAAAAACCGCTTACATATTGCACCATGGTGCCTATGCGAAGCTGCCCTGTGATTATTCCTAATTAATATATTAATATATTACCCACTTAAATTATTAAATTACACAAAAAAAACTACTTAAATAGAGGTTTATAATCTTATATTCTAAACAAAGCTGATGCGGTATGGAGAATGAAGAATGAAAGCTGGGCGGCAACCGAAAAGGAGACAGGGAGGACAGGGGGCGAATATAATCGTAGTAGCGTATGAAGTTGATCCCAAATTAGAGTTTTTGCACATAACTGATATCTCCCTTATTCTGTTTACAATTTGACAGCTGAATCGAGTGATCTAACCCAACTTTTTTGCTTGTTTGTAAACTTTTATTTATCCCGAAGATTATCCTGACAATCGACGGTTCCAATAATTTTCCCTTGGTGTTTTTTATGGAGGAATTATTAGAAGTTGCTGTTCTTGCAGACGTAAATGGAGCGTGAACTAATTTTGACATAGTATAGCGTTACGGTAAGGCATCCGTTAACTCCCGTCAGGTAGCGGGCTCCGCTAACGCTAATACCGTAAGAACTGTCATACTTGTCATTAACGTTACGGTATTTGAAATTTGGACAGCACGAGAACCCTCTAATATCCTTTTATTCTGAATACCGTGCGATTTTTTCATGATTTCTATTTTGATTAATTTTCTCAATTTACCGCCTCTCAAATTTTGCCGCCGGGTGCAGTTAGCACCTCTGCACCCCCCTAAGGCCGGCGCTGCCTCAATGCAATATTTGTACACCGTTATGGGCAGATTAATACATATTTATGCTATTGTATCTCTAATGTAATCACTTATTTTTTTTGCCATTATTAAAAATAATTTATCCAAACCAAACTTCCTTTGATCAGCTTCCACATCGATTAATGGCTTCTAAACGTAAATCTAATCAGCTAAATAAGGCAAAGTATCATCTCTTCTAGTTTAAAAATGCGTCTTTCTTAAAACTGAAGCCTGACCTCACAGTTAATTTCATAGACAGCCACTAGGTACCTGAGTTTGAAAATTTCCAATTTTCAAATGTCGAAATTTGGTCGTTTCAGGGCTTATTGAGTTTATCAGTAGTCCAACCTGGCCGATGTATAGTGATTTGAACCGCTTTTAAAGTCAAAATTTGCTATTCAAAATCTTAAAGAAAACTTGGGCAAACTTTCCGATTGTAAACTTATATCAGAAAATGTAAATTTGAGATCAGCTATTATAGTTCAATTTACTAGCAAATTTTGGGGCTACAGTCTTTGCGAGCTAGAAGTCTTTTTCTCTTTTAGTTCAGGATACCGGCCATCTTGAACTTAAGTCATTTTAAAAAAAGTTTTCTATCTCTGGCCAGAATTTGCTAGTTCTCGTTAATTGTATTGACCCGGTGAAGTTTTGAAAGTTTACATTTGACAAAGTACTCTTTACAAACTCCATGTTATCCGAAATTTTCCCCACAAATTACATCATATCTTTGAAACTTTAAACTGTTCGTAGGTTGGGGTTGTAGCTTCAAACTGCTTTGCAGCTTTGCACTTGTCATGTCTTTAGGCTTGTCTTTTTGCCTAAGTTAAATGCTGGAGTCTACTTGTCTTGTGGTTTAGCGTTCTTGGTTTAAGACCCTGAGTTAAGAGAGGACGTTTCGGATAATGTAAAGAGGAGCCAGCTATCTAAGCAAAAAACTATATCAAGTACGTTCATAAATATTATTCAGATGCAATCTTTACCCTCACTTGTTCCAAACGTTATAGTTTCCTGACTTTATTTTGGTTTGACTAAAAATTTAAAACACACAATTGATTTGAACTTGAATAAAATTGTTTACTGTTGTTGCAGACCTGTCAGTTTCAAAGCCCTCTATGAGTTTGTGGACTTGCACTTGGATGGAGAACAATACGGAGATGGTCCGTGTTCTAGAAAATTCGGAGCTCTTGCTAGCGAAGGCCAACAAAAATTCAAATCTCCTGGTGATATTTTTTTATATGGACGTGGTGGCTCCAAAAATATAAGGTAAGAATTTTGGAAAATGTACGAATTTATTATGTTTGGCCGTAATGACGTCAGTAACGAAGTTCAAAATCTTTCATGTGCGAATAATCTAGACAGTTTTCATGTGCTTATTAGAAAATATTTATGTGTTTATTATGTTTTTTTTTTTTTTTTTCAGTTGTATTTACCGTTTTGAAGCTCAAAAAGGTGAGAAAATCAAAATTACGCTAACCGATGTCAGAATAAGAAACAGAAATTGCAATACCAAACTGAATAAGGATACCGACACATTGGAATGCGTTGGAAACATTACTGCTACTTTGAGATTTTTTGAAGTGCCTTGGATTGATGTACCAGGAATACCCAGGTAAATTTATATATCAAATTTGACCCTCGAAAGATGACGACCACGTGACAAATAGAATTCCTGCGAATTAAATTATGCACTGATGTCTTTGATAGCACGATTTATGATATTGCACAATCACTGATGTAACTAGCATAGATAATAATCATGGTGCAATTCAACAAGAAACGGTAATGGTGTTATCTCTTCGTAGCTCTTAACTACTCCCACTAATTTTCTAGACAAAAAATGGTCCAGGGATCTTTGTGTGGCAGATTGTAAGTTCTAAATAACGACTTCTTAGCTAACAAGTAGCTTTTGTTAGGTGACCGTCATCTTTCGTGGATATGATAATGGATATATGTAATTAATTAATCCTGACTGTAGTTTTGAGAGTGAATATCGGGAAAATTTTGACTTTACAACCCCGATAATCATTCTAGAAAAAACAATTCCATCGCACGTTTTGGTTGGCATGTAAATTGCTTAACCGTGAGGTATTAGACTATACTAGGTACGTCACAACACCGAAATCGGCCGGTTTATCAAATGTCACTTGAATTGGTATGCCAGTATCCAAAAAAAAAAAAAAATAAATAAACAAACTACTGAATACTGAATGATTTCCCTTGGAGAGGTCACAATTTTCAGTTAATAAGTAGGTACCTACTGTTACAGTTTTTGTGAAAATGTATGCATATTTATTATTGGGAGTTGTTACAATGGTCCAACACAGTGTAGTACAGTTAGTACCTACATACAGTAATACAAACATAAAATAAAGGATTAACTTATAGAATTAAAAACTATATTGCTGCTTACCCTTCATTAATAGTACAAACAAAATTTCTTGCATTTTAAAAATTTAATATTTTATATTAATCAGGAATGAGAGCCAGTTTGAAATTTTTTTTGTGACCTACAGTCGGTTAGATTAGATTAGATTGATATTGGGGTGTTGTTGCACTGCGACCTAAAGATCTATTGTGCCCCCTGCTGAAGCCGATTTGATGTGGATCTCAAATCATAGTACTTCGTCCAGTCCTATGGCCTTGATGACGGCTAGTAACTGGTATGGTGTCAACGATGGTATGTCTCCTTCTAAAACTACATAGTCACCCAGATGTGTAGCCCGGCTTCTAGCGACGGCTTCGCATACGGTTAGTAGGTGTTCTGGAGTTTCTTCCTCCTCCCCGCAAAACCTGCAATCACTGGATCTCTCGAGTAGCATTTTCCTGCGGTGTTCTCGAAGGTGGCAGTGCCCTGTCATAAACCCTGTAAGAATTCTTAGTTTAGTTTTTCTAAAATTTACTAGAGCTTTAGATTTTTTGGGATTGAAGTTTCCAAGGAATATCTTAGAGTGTCTCAGTCCCGGAAGTCCGTCCCAGAGGCGAGCTCTTAGGTCGTCTTCCATTTTCTTAAGCTCCGCTGTATAAGTGTTTTTACCTATACCGCAAAAAGGCTCCGGTCCTACAAACGGGGAACCGGATCCTTTCTTTACCAAGGTATTGGCTTCTTCGTTACCTTCTACTCCTGCGTGTCCAGGCACCCATAGTAAAGTGACTTTATTTTTCTTTCCTACCTCATTTAGTTTCCCTAGGCAATCCCGTACTATCTTAGAACTGATGAAATATGAACTCAGTGCCATTATGGCCGATTGACTGTCGGTGAATATTGCAATATCTTGCTTGAGATAGTTCCTGTTCAGGATCATTTGAGCACATCGGTCAATAGCGTGTATTTCCGCCTGAAAGACACTGGTGTATTTACCCAGTGACTCAAAATATTTGGTGCGAGGCCCAAATACTCCAGCTCCTGATCCTTTGTCGGTTTTCGAACCGTCTGTGTACCATTTAATGGTGTTTTCTTTGAGAGATTCGGTGATCTTGCCGCTTTCCCAGTCGCTTTTATTATCAATCCTTGTGAGGAAGTTTCTCTCAAAGTGATATTCTTTGGTTATATCGTCTTTAGGAAGATCGAATAATCTAATCTAATCTACAGTCGGTTGAAATTTGTTTTTATTGAATATATTTACATATAATTATCCCCTCCCCCCCTTAGGCCTGGCGATTAATATTGTTCCATGATGCTACCAGGGGGGCTTTATTTGAAATCGATCGCAAATATCTGCGTGCACGCAAAGTTGCATCAATTTGTTCGTATACGCAACTTGTTATGTGCGAATAGCTTTATTTGAAATTGACATTGGACGTGTGCATCTCTACTTGCGTGGACGCAAAAGATGCACTCGCTCGCTGCGTTGCCAGTTTTATTTTCACAAAATGTTGAAAAAATACCATATAAAAATGAGTGGATTTTTGAATTTTATGATATTTTGGCTGACGCTGACGTTTATTTAAGGATGACATTTATTATGATTTTTTTGATGTTTTGAGGTTAGAATTTTTCAAAATATGTTTCGTTCTTTATTACCAAAAAATGTGGCAAGAAGCCTCAGCGGTATTAAATACGGTGCCCGAGGTTTTCGTTAAAAGCCTTCGCTATTTTAAGACGAGCCAACACATTGTTGTTAATAACGTTATTGAAATTCATATTTATAAAAATCACCACCATATTCGAATAAACTATCAAAATTAAAATAAATTGGCAAATTGACGGCATAACTTGCATTTGCGTAATAGACTTGCGATCGGTATACCCTCATGCGCAAAAGTTGCGAGTGGTGCAAAGTCACATCGCTCGCAGTGTTTTTCAAATGAGCCGTGCACCAGTTGTCAATCGCAAATGACGTTATTTGCGTGTACGTAAAGTTGCATCAATTTCAAATAAACCCCCCCAGGTAACAAAAAATCACTAGACGAATAAAAAAATAGGATGGCTAATTCCTCTTCAAACTTTTGATTTACATCTTATCCCATTATGTAGGTACTTATTCCTTTCAACATAACTCTATAAATAAAAAAATTCATGCGTAAAGCAATACATCTCTTGAGTAGTCTTGAGTCTCGTTTTGGGAACACTGTCGTCGTTAGCGCTCTAAAAAATTAATTTCTTTTTATTTCGGAAAGAGTCTACTTCATTTGTAGTTACGTGATCCAGGTGAGAGAAGACGTATGTCGTAACACATAACTGATTGACACTGGCAGAAAAATATAAAGGTTCCTTCATCAAACGGTTAATGCTGAGACATCCGGGTTGACCAAATAGGGAAAAAGTTCCTCAATCAAGTGCCTACAAATAAGCTGTCATCAACTTCTTTTAACTCGGAATAGTAACGGATTTACCCGTTTCTATTCCGAGTTCAAAAAAGTTGATGAGAGATTATTTAAAGGCTATTGATTGCGCAACTTTCTTCCCATTTTGTCCACCCTCTATCGTCAATAGTGTCCAAAATCCCCATGTACCTCAAGTTTTTCCGGATAGCCTGTATGTTGATTCAGTGATATATGTATGGTTACATCACATAAAGGGACCTATTTGAAAAAAAATAAAAATAAATCAGGTTTTTGCCCTTCCCCTGAAAAATGTTCTATGGACGCCCTTGGTTCTAAGTCTTCTGATTCCCGATCTCCATCTTTCTCTGTTATTTCAGACATCTTCCTCTAATCTTCTGCATCGCATTTCCTCATCTACTCCACTTTTCCAGCTTCTTCTCTGTCTGCTGCGTCTCCTACTTTCCCCTGGCTTTCACCCAATGATTTACTTGGGTGTTTTCGTATCTGCCATTCTTTGTACCTAAATATGTTAAATACACGAACCAAATCAGTTAAATTGTTTGTCCTTGATAACATCTACTATTTTGCATCTTACTTTCATAGTTTCTCTAATTCTCTAGTTTCTTATCCTTTCCATTTTTCGCCTACCTGGGCTACTCTCCTCCCAGAGTATATTTCAGATGTTTCCAGTGTCTTTGCGGCTTTGTAGTTTCGTGGTCAAACCTCTGAACTATATGTGACGATAGTGTTGTTTATTCCGGTTTTGTTTGTTTTGTTGATATTTTGGGCCCACAGTGCTCGATCGAGTAAGAACATTGCCTTCCGCCCGTGTATATTCTGATCTTTCGTTGGTTCGACTAGAATCCCTCACGCGAGATTTTCATTGCTAAATATTTGTATTCAGTGTGTATTGTTTAATTTCTCGTCCGTTATTTAATTTTTCGTTTTCATTGCTTAAAACACTAATAAAGTAGAAATAATACAGTCCATAGTCCATACATCAGTAAACAAAAAAGCAGTAATTAAAATCAAACTATCGAAAAATAAAAGTTGACAATCAATCAGTCAAAGAGATCCGATAAGTAAAATGCTTTTTTTTATTAAAACGGATTTTAAAGCTTTGTATCCACCTAAGTTCTAAGCTAATGTGAATAAACATTTTTATTCCGTTAAATAAAGGAGTCCCTGACTAAGCTGGAATAAGGAATAAGAATAGGGTTATTACATGCTACACTAGTTGAGTGAGTTCGCTGGTGATCTGGAAAATAATTCTTATTCTTATGAATTAGACAGGCTGTCTCCAAAACAAACAAAGAAGGCAACGTGTGAATTCCACTCTCCACAAAGAGCGGACGAAAATGCGTTCTGGGGTGTGCATTACTCAAATTTCGGACTACCGCTTTTGCAAAATGAAAACCAATTGGAAATTATAATTTGAACAGGCACCCCAGAAGGATGGGGCATATCTGAGATAGAACTCGATGACAGCAAAGTAAACATCCCTATCCACATTTACTACCAGTCCCTGGCATGTTGCCCTTACGCAAAAGCAGCCTGCAGAGAGTATTTGGTTTAATTTCGTGATATGATTATGAAATCTCAGTCCGCCATCAATAACCAAACCAAGATATTTTGACTGAACCGTAAGGCCACTGTTGTTGCTGCTAGGTTCCAAAGTCCCGACATGAAAATTAAAACCCAACAGGTGTGTCTTGGACATGTTAGGGCCAAGCATCACACCACTGCTTAATCTCTGGAAGATCGGAAGCTATAGCTAGATATATCTCCACCCAGCTGCTTCAGGTCTTGTTGGCCCCTAATTTCCAGTGTAATCAGATCATTGAG